TCTTCTTCATGTCGCTCAGCAGGGAGTCCACGCTGAAGCTGATTTTACCGCTTCGCGGCTTCAGGTTCGACGACGCCGACGTTGAGGTTGCCATGTCGACGTCCTCGCATAGACGATCGCTCCCGGTGCCCTGACCTGTCACCACGCCCTCGCTGTTGCTCATACCGGTCCACTTTTTTCCTCTTCTTCCTCTTTTGCTTCTCCTTCGCTGGATCGATCAACTACGGCACCGTGTAACGTTACGCGCTATCCCGTTGGATATTATCCCGTTCGAAGCGGCCAATCTCGAGGGTGTCACCTACGATCACTTGACCCGCATCGTATTTTCGCACTCAACTTGATCCTCCCGACTGTCCGTGGACCACCGACGATTTACGATACGATCATCCTACTCTATTTCTGTCCCTTATCCACAGGCTGGCTCGCGTCGACGCGAATTGCTAAACATCAACGCGACAGCCAACACGGAACCGTCATCGCAACGGCGAATTTTCGATCGTCGTTTTATCAGCTCGCGATCAGTTTCGTAGCGATGTCATCCAGATTGTTCTCACGAGTTGGCATCCCGAGCGATTCCAAAGCCCGTTATTCTTGGAATCCGCCGCGTCGCCGCGGACCGACCGAGCCGGCACGAGCGGATCCCCCCATTAAAGTCAAAGCAGTTTCTTTACGAGATCAACATGACGGTCCGACTCCTCCGGGCGTCCAACATTATACTACTTAGGCTGACCACGTTTCTCTTGACCCACTGATGCGACAGTTCGAGTTTCTTCTGTTTCACCCTCGACGACCAAAAACATCAACCGACGAGATCTTGCTCTAATACCCTGCAATCTCTCGGGTTAGCGCAAAGTAGCAGCGTTCTGTCGCCTTTGGGGGTTCGTGGAAGATTGAGATTGATTAACACCGCGTCGAATTCATCCTTCGGACTCTTTAGCAGTGTCGACCGGGTTCCTCAGCGGAGATGGAGGGCATAATGATCGAATCCAAACCGGAATCTGATTGCTTTTGGGTTAGGTCTGGAATTAACACTGTAACCTAAGATCAAAGTCGTCCTTGGAACTATCAATTTTGGTCAGATTCGACGAAGGTACACAGATTACTTTGTCAGAATGTAGTTCTCGAGTTAGGTCTAAGACTATCCACACTGTCACGTTTATCTCTGACGCCTGTTTCTCTGCAGCGTCAACTAGGTTCTTCGGCAAAGACCAAGGGACATAAACGACCGGGTCTGAACGTTGTAGACTCTGGGTGCTAAGTCTAGAATTGGCATTATCACATCGAGTGGAGCTGTTTCTTCGACAACGAGGTTTGATCCTAGTCCTAGTCACTCGAAAATCGAAGCACTCGTCCACTTGGCGGTTCTGCCAGAGCTGTCCTCGTAAGTAACCGGAAGCGGAATGCTCCAGCGGTTCTAAAGCAGGTAGTCGCACTGTCACAAGCTCGTCACAACCGTACGCGGGGGGTGTGCAGGCGTAATCTGCGTAATCTGCCGCGTGGTGGCCACTGCTGCCGCGGAAACGACACTGATTACCAGCTCGGCTGCGGACAGGCCTGCCGAGGCGTTCTCTCTCTTCTTCGGTGGCGGCCGGCNNGCGGCCGGCGTCGCGGTGCTTGCCGCCTGTGCGCGCCGCCCCCGCGAAACCCGTGGAACCGGTACCGTGTCCTATCCTCGACCAATGCCAACCACTCCAGGCACACTACGTACCTAACCCGGACCCCTCGATGGTAGGCGTGTTTCGTCCGCTCCGCTCCGCCAATCGAAGCGTCTCGACGCGCTTCGAAACCTTCTCGGCTCGCGACCAGCGGGGGAAATCGACCCGGGTTTACGCGTCCGCCGTCCGCCAGATGGCGGTGCCATCCTCGGGACCGAGGACGCTCGTCGATTGAAAGCTACGGACGTGGGGATGAAACGACGACGAGCGTCGCTGGGTGGGGGCAGGTCGGAAAGGGGCTGAAGCGGAACGACGCGACGCGGGGACCGGGATGATGAGGCAACTGCTCGGGGAACGTGACGACTCCTAATTGTCTAATTCCCGTGCGCGATGCGCGAATTGATTGGCAATCCCCGTTGCGTCTGTGGTTGCGCCTTTCGGCGCGAGTGTGCGTGCGTGCGTGCGCGCACACCGACGCTCCGACGTTTCCCTTCCTTGTCCGTGCGAGCCTCGTGACGGGATAACGACGCTGTCGGCGCGCTTTCCTCGACGTATGCCGTTGAACCAGCTTTTTTCCACGGAAAGAGTTTCGCGATTTCTGGTTTGCTAAACGATCGCGAGGTGTTTCTGGATTGCGCTCGGGGGTATTGAAGGGTAAATGATCGATGGAAATTGGAACTTTGATTGGCAGACCGCCGGGCTTGTTGTGGATTTCAAAGTGGTTCTGCAGGAAATGACGGACGCGATGCGAAGATGGGTTTTCTGATTTAAAGTTTCATTTTTTTTGTAAACCGATGCTGTGACGAGATACGAATCTTGCAAGATTTGATTACTCGTTATTAGTTAGAAGTTCGGTTCGAGAGGAACAAATATCGTAAAGTATAACCTCGATCGTTTATATCTTTTGGAGAAGTGTTAGAAACGTCATGAAAAGACTCGCAAAATTTTCGCGATGTTATGTACCAGACAAACAACGTTTTAGGATTAGAGTAATCCGATTGGCAGGTTGGTGGTGATAGTCTAGAGTGACAGCTAAAACCCACGGGGTCCCGAGGGAGAGCCTGAAGAGGGAAGAGGAGCAGACTTACCATGTCCCAGACTTCGGAGTCAAGCCGATTAACCAAAATCTTGTTACAACTGTACGACAGGAACCCTATGGCGTGTTTTCCGGAATAGAAACCACCGAAAATGAAGGATCTTTGAGGGGAACGATCTGTGCGAGACTTTATAAACCTCCCTTTACACTGCTGTTCATTCTCCCTACTATTCTCAAATATTTTTTTTCGTTAAAATCTTTTACTTGTGGTGTAAGATTCGTTTACATGAAAATTTTGTATACTTGTCTAATCCACTCGTATCTTTTATTTTATTCTAAACAATTTTTATTTTTTCTGATATTTATCGTTAACTTATTGAAATTGTAATCTTGCAAGCAAATTATATATACAATAGAGTATATCAGGTAGAATGAAATGAGAAGGAAAATTTCATTTAGCATGCACGTAGTACATTATCGATTCACTAAGAGGTCAATAGAGTACAAAAGCCGAGTTTCAAGCGACAGAACAAGTGGTGAATTCTATCAGATACAGCAAGCAAAGCTGATAGCATACTAAAGTACAAGCGAATGAGTGGTCAATAGAGTACTTAAGCCAGCAAACATGGTATAGCAGGCAAACTATCAGGCAAATTACCTGCTCTAGTATATCCCCTCGTTTAATAATCCATCCTGTGAGAACATCCTACGTAGTGAACGTTTCTTCCAATCATCATCATTATCATCAGCCGGCAGAAATCGAGCGGATCAACCCTTGTCTGGAAAAAAACGAGGAGTTTAAAAAAGTCACCTAGAAGCGCGTCGTTCTCGCCAGAGTCATGTACCAAAGGAGGAGCTGGTTCGATTTCCAAAGCCGTTTGCACATTAGCGGGGAATAAACGACACCGAAATATAGCGCGGATGCGCGATCGCCATAATAGGAGCGGCGAGTAGTCTATTAAGCGTCCTCAAAACCAGTTAGTGAGTCGGCAATCCAGTTTAGGTACAAAATGGCTGTCGTTTAGCGAGGATTAATGGTCTCGGGAGTGCCCCAGGGCAGCATAATGGGGCAGATGCGTCCTGGACGAAGGGGGAACGATCTCTCCGTCCTCTCCTCTCTCTTTCTCTCTGCCGTATCGCGACACAACCACCCCGCTACTCGACCCTCCCTTACTCCACCCCTCTGTTAACCTCATTATGTACACCTATCTGGCTACGGGGTCCATTATGCCCTTTTTGCGCTTTCCTACGTACACCGTACGAATAAACAGGCGAGCGTGTGTGCGTCAGACACCACGGGGAGCGTGTAAGGACGCGTAGGGAATCCGCTCTCGTATTTGGGCCTCGAAGCGCCGTTTAGTTTGGCGTTTCACGCTCGACCGACTCCCCTAGCTGCTCTGCTCGTCTCGTTTCGACGCTCCTGGGAGTTAAGTAGTCGTTTTCAAATCGGCTCTGCCTTTTTTCAGCCTGTGAGGCTCTCAACCCGCGACCGAGATTCGGGAATTAATCGAAGTTATGAAACGAGAACTGAGATTACAAATTTTTGCACGAGGTACCAGTCTGAAACGTGGGTCACGGAGAGTTCTGCAGCGTCGGTTCTTTAATCCGGCCGTTCCCGCGTAGCCCGAAATTCGCACCACGCCTACAGTTTAACGAAATAATGCGGCTCGTTTAAAAGGTACAATGGAATCTTAAATACCTGGGCCTTTGTCGACCCAGGCACCAGCAATAAGCACCCAGCAACGTGGTTTATCGCAGGTGACCAACTCCGCCTATTTCGACGTTTCTTAATTCGTGTACGGGCATACTGAACTTTTCTAGGTAAAACGATATAGGGGAAGACAATAGAACATGTTCAAGAACTATCCACATATGTTCATTCTTGTACGACACATCAAAGTTCGTAATGTAAATCATTAAATCCCTAAATTGTGAAGCGCATAAATTTTATAATTTATTTGTATAAAAGTATCGGTAGTCAGCTAATTAAGCATCGGTCTAAGGTAGTCGACTAACAGATAAGCTTTGAACTGAAAATCAAAGTAAATATATTTTTTGTGACTTCGTAAAAATATTCGTTCGCAAGTAACGAACTACTCGATGTTTAAAATTATTCGATGTTTTCGGATTAGAAGGGGTGAGACGGCAAAGAGGATTTGCAGTGGGCGTACGACAGAATTATTCAACGAGAAACAGCGAACAAAACGCGGCACGGACTCTCGTGGAACCTTGGGAAATCCAAAAATAATCAAACAGAGGCAGTGCAACGGTTACCTAGTCCTGCAAACAGGATTAGGACGAGATGCACGACGGGTTACCGTGACCCGGCTCGAAAAGCGTCGTTTTACCTGCTCGTGGAAACTTGACTTTGCGACTCCTCACGTTTTTCCATCCCTTCGATGGTCGAAATTTGTTCCCTCGAACGGGCTCTGTTTGTACCACCTTATCTGCTCGCGAGTCGACTCGCCACGTTCGAGACGACGGGGTGTTTGATCGTCAAACATCTTTGACCTGTTTTCAAAATACCATTAGGGGTCGCGTACAAAACGAATTCGTCGGAAAAATTGTTGAAACAGGTCTTCAAACTTCTTCCTTTCTTCAGAAATGTCTTGTCCCATAATATGAAAATCAATCATGCAAATTGACGAAACTCGCGAGGCACAGTAGATTTTCTAGCTCTTTCCAATTTTTCATTTAGCCACCCTTAAATCTCGGGCCACGTTCATCACCGAACGAGAAACACGAGTATTCAAAAGGGAAGATAAATTTCAATTTGCTGGCCAAGTCTCCATTCGTGTCGTGAAACGATCGACTTGGTATCCGGATCTCTCTGCTTGCGAATCGAATTTACCCTCGGCAAGAAAAAAGGAAATAAGGGACTCGTCACGCGTACTTGATCGTCTGGCGTATAAAAGGGGATGATTTGTAACCGGTCATTGTTCAAGCGTTCAGCCAATGACGATTCGACGCGAGTCGCGTCGAGCCAATCGCGCGAGAGTAAAAGCGTATCTCCGAGACACGCGCGTTCCAGCGAGTGTCGCAAAGAATGCAGCAACCCCCGGACGAAACCAGATGCGTCCCGCTGGCTAACGCACCGCGACGGCCTCCATTATGTTTGTTTATTTATTATTAATAGGAAATTCATAACAATCACATAATAGGAGCCCGCGTATAATGGCTTTGTCCGGAGTCCGCTTCTCGCGCGTCGTCACGCTCGAGCTGTTTCTCGCACAATGGCCAGCTTTTTCCCGGATATTCTCCACGCCTCTTCTAAACTCCGTTGGGCCGCTTTACGTCGTTTCGTACGAACGACGAATTTCTTTTATCCGTTCGAACGGCGACGACGTCTTCGATGTTCTTCTTGTCTCTTTTTCTCCGGCCGTTCTGCAGGAAATTAATCGGTTCGGTCCGTGTATCGCTTCTGTCGCGTTCGAGGTATAAATAACGTGACGTCAAATCCAGGTGGGTCGTTCGAGTCCCTTTTAGCCGGCTCTGGATTCGATAAAACCAGTCGACGTCCCCTGTCCGCGTGAATCAAAATCGAACGCGATAAAGACAGTCGATCACCGGCCGCGTCGCGACGTCCTATACAGTCGGCTCAAAAATGTCCGTCACAATTTATTTTACCATACAACCACTAAATTTCGACGAGATTTATTGTTCGATTAATCCGATGATCGTGTTCACATCGGAGTTTGTAGACATGTGAATTCAATACGTCAGTCTTACGAAAAGTTCTACCGAATTTATATACCTGGTATGATACATGACGATTACATCAAAGAGTACATGACAGTGCATAGTACAGTAAATACAGTATGTTTAAAAAATGTAATCAAGTATGTTCACCTGCAATGCTTGTTACAGTGTCAGTAGTGTCAGTCATGAAAGGGTAA